TGGGGCGGCGCCGACCAATAGCCGCGCGGCCGGGAGGCGGGCCCAGGCGGCACCGCTCCCAGGAGGCGCTTCGGTGAGTGGAGCTGGTCCGGACCCACCGGAACCTGCCCCGCCAGGTCACAATCGCCCGGGGCCCTTGCGCCGGCCTGGCGGGTTCTGTCGCCGCCGCTGTCCATTCAGTTCACTCTGCTTGTGGTCACCGCACGGCGAGATTCTGGCCAGAGCTCCCGGGCTCACGTTGACGAACCCGAACGAAGACCTGCCAACCCCTACCCCCAACCTCTACCGGCCGCCGGAGTCGGGTGGCTCCTAACTTGATTCTCATCCTGAATCCCACTTATCAAAGTTGTCTTCATAACCGGCCCAGTGATACAAAGAGGCTACGGGAACTGAAGCCGTGGCCAGCGGTTCCGTTGGTTAGAGCCTCCTGATACACCCAGGGTGCAGGTTCATCCGGTCAGGGCACATACAGCAAGCAACCAATGAATACATGGGTAAGTGGAACGGCAATCAATGGTTCTCCCCCCTCTCTAAAATCAATAAATAACAATAAAAAAAGACAATAAGAACTAATACACAAAAAGGAAAGGACCCTTTCTGTTGAATCCTGGTAAATACAATTTACGTCGAAAACGTGCCCCCCTCCTAACTCTTCACTATGCTCTGGATTAAAAGGAGGCAAAGATGCAAAGAGCCAATACTGCAAATGTGGTTTCCCTTTCCCCTGATGTTGCATTGCGTAACTGGGCTGAGGGAGACGTTTATCTTCCTAATTATCTGGCCCGGGTCAGGGTGAAGCCACCTTTGCTTTTCCTGAGTTTTCACTGACCAACAAGGTAGCACTTCGGTACGGTCAAGGCCTGTCACCCAGCCAGTGTCACTCGCACACACGCGTGTGCACACACACGCACGCGCACACGCACACAGCTTTCCAGCTTTCTGTCCTCTTCTCTCTGGCTCCTTGCTCTCAACTCCCTTCTCCCCAGTCTCTCTCGTGCAAAAAATTCCCAGTTGCCCCTTAGTTTACCAGAATCTGTCTCTGAGATAAAGCATCCCACTGGGGCTCCCAGACTTGCTGGGGGCTCCCCCAAAAAGAACAGCATTAGCCAGAGGCAGACCTGGCAAGGCCTGCGTGTGAGGGGAGGGGGGAGCAGTAGGGGTGAGATGGGAACCCCATGGCTGCTGCTTACACCTTGCAGTTCAGCGATCTATGTATGGAGGCCACAGACTGTGTGTGTGTCCACGCTCACTGTCCCCAACACACAGGAGCACTGTGGTGCATCAGAAAGAACACTGGCTTTGGACTCAGGCAGACCTGAATTTGATTCCTACTCGTCAGCTGTGAATCTGGGACGAGTTATAGAACCTCTCTCAGACTCAGTGTCTTCATCTGCGAAATGGGCATGGCACAGTCTGCCTGGTGGGTTGTGCACCCTGGCACAGTGGGTACACTTAATTGTAGGCACTCATCAACGGTGTGGAACAGGGATGGGCCTCTGCACCCTGGGCCTGCTCTATCTGCCTTCCCAGCTCCACCCCAAGACCTTAGCTCAGCAGCCTCTGTGAAGTTTAAGGGCGTGGCTAAGTCCAGGGGTTCTCTCTCAGTTTCCCTTCTTCCTTTTTGAGTCTCTTATTGCCCCTAAGGACTTCAGGGCCCCAGAGAGCAGGCCCCACGACAGAATCACCCAGAACTGGAGAAGAGTAGCTACGGTGGTCATCCCTTCTCTGGGTCCCGGCACTGTCCTAGTGAAGGTCAGTGGAGAAAGTCAGGTTTGTCAAGTCCCCTCCCTGCCCCCACCAGGGACAGCCTGATTGACCCTTTCAAGAGCTCTATGGAGGGAGGGGGTGGTGTTAGTGGTCCCTCTTTATTTTTACCAAAAGCAGTGGGGTGGGGAGCATCTCCAGGTATTTGTTGTGAAAAGCTGCACGACAAAGAGGAAGGTCACAAGATGTGAGCACTGAACACTTCTGAGTTTGAAGTCTCCAGTTCTGCAGTTTCCCGTGGGGAAGTCATTTAGTGTTTCAGAGCCTCCGTTCCCACCCCTGTGAAATGGAAACAAAACCTTCCCTCTTCCAGGCATGAGGTTTGAGTGAAATGATGAAATAAGTGTCTAGTACAGTGGTTCTCAACCTGTGGGTCGCGACCCCTTTGGCGGTCGAACGACCCTTTCACAGGGGTCGCCTAAGACCATCCTGCATATCAGATATTTACATTACGATCCATAACAGTAGCAACATTACAGTTATGAAGTAGCAACGAAAATAATTTTATGGTTGGGTCACAACATGAGGAACTGTATTTAAAGGGCCAGAAGGTTGAGAACCACTGTACGAGGCCTCTGGTCCTGCAGGCACTCAATAACCAGCAGCTCCAGCTCCCAGTTATGACCAAACCATGAATGAGTCCCAGTCTGGCTCTGTGATTAGGTGTGTGAGCTCTGGAGCCAGAGCCAAAGGTCATATCTTGGCTTCACCCCCTTGTAGCTGGATGTCATCTGTAAACTGGAGATGGTAGTAGTGTCTACCGGTATTTTACGATTATTGTGAGGATCAAAATCATCAAAACCCATAAAATACTTAGAACAGGACCTGGCATATAGCAGGTGCTCAGTAAACAGTAGTCATTATCAAGTATCCTATGGCAAGAGGCTGCAAGGTGTAAGCAGCAGCCATGGGGTTCCCACCTCACCCCTACTGCTCCCCGCTCCCCTCACACGCAGCCCTTGCCAGGTCTGCCTCTGGCTAAGAGGTGAGGTGAGGATTAGCCGTCAGTAGCAGAGCCAGGATTAGGGCCGAGCGTCATGACTCTCTGTCTAGTGCTCTCCAAGACGGACATCAGTCATCAACCAGGACTGTCAACGTCAGCCCCACCCTGCCACACACTGGGCTTTATTGCTGCCCAGCCACAGGATGGCCAGCCGCTGCTCTTCGTGTGGGAAAGCCCTCCAGGCAGCTGGCTCAGGCTTGCCCACCAACACTGTCTTCGCACCTCCCTTTAGAGGACCCCTGACTCCTCGGTCAGAAAGTATCAGCCCTGAACCTTAAGCCTCAGCTTTCCAGCCGAGAGGACAAAGTCACCCTTTGATGCTGGAAGCCTAGGCTTCCAAAAAGGAAAAACAGGCGCTAAGGAGATGGGCAGGACCTGGGGTCACAATTTGACCCTGGGGGAAAGCTGTTCCCAATCTCCCACTTAGAAGCAATGGGAGGACGTGTCTATCCCAGAACCCTCCACTCCACCAGGGGCTTGTCCTTGTGCTGGGGGCCTGTACGGGGCCTGGGAAGAGGAGGGCATCTGGGGCACATTGCTAAAGATCCCTTCCCGTTCTACAACCCCCGGCGAGCCCAGGCACAGATCTGGGACGCGGGTACACATCCTGAAAAAGGGAGCCCCTTTCCATTGGCGAACGCCTGGGTGTTGGTGACTGTGCTTGGGCCAGGATGCCCTCCCCTGGGGCTGGCTTCCCTCGCAGTGTCTGACTGACTCTGGCCCCAGACTGTGTTCCGAGAGACCACGCTCTATTTTTGTCAACCTGTGCACACATGAACAATGGGTTTTCTTACTCACGCAAACCCAATGAGAGGGAAAATGGTGAGAAAACCTACGTTTCCTCTGACTCATTCAATCATCCAAGAGGAGGCGGCGGGAGGAAGTCGGACCAATCTTTTAACTTGAACTGGGTGAGGGCAAGGAGGAAAAACTCTTTCCTTGACTCTCCGTAAAGTCAGGTGCTGCAAAACCAAGAGAGCATAAACAACTCTCCTCTCCTACCAACACCCGCCTCCCCTCCCCTCCTCCTCCCAGGCCAGGCAGCCTGTGTCTCAGACTTTTAGTTCCCGAACTGCACCACTGGACTCATTCGGGGAACTAAAAAGTGTCAGTGTCTGGGTCATATCCCATAGCAACTGAGTCCAAACCTCTAGGGTGGGAGTGACCCGTTAGCTGTTTTCAAAGGTGATTCCAATGCAACAAAGTTTGGGAACTACTTTGCTAGAGGCTTGCTGACTGCAGTGGGAGTTGGAGCAATCACAGGGTGAAGGCATCATTTGTTCATTCATTCATTCACAAACAGGTAATGAAGAGCTTTTATGTGCCAGACCCTGTTCAAGGAGCTGGAGATACAGCTGTGATCAATACAGTCTTGGTTCTCGTGGAGGAGCATTCTGGTGGGGGAAATCCCGCGAACACATAAATGAATAAATGATATACATGACTCCTGCTATGAAGAAAACCAACCCAGGGTAGAGGGTAGAGAAACTTCGGGGGCCAGAGGTCTGTTTTCACCCGGGATGTAGGCACTGATTTTTGCTCCAGGAGAGGGTAGCTGTGCCCGTCCTTGCTGTCCCGGATTTTATCCTGCTTTCTGGCTAAAACAGCTTCCTCCTGACAATCCTCAAGGTCCTGCCTCCTGCCCGTCACAGGGCCCGGCCTTCCCGCTTTCCTCTTTCCCTTAGATCTCTTCAGGGCAGGGGCCTGGCATGCTCTGCACACATCCTCCTCTCCTCTCTGTCAGCAATAACATGTGACCCAGGACCTGGGCAAGGTGCATGATCCATCAAGGATCACGTATGTGTAACCCACAGAGGGATTTTAGGCTTGTGGGGTATGAGAGGTCATGTGGGACAGTGGAGAGAACCCCAAACGCAGGGTCAGAAGACCTAGACTTGAGGTCTGACTCTGCCACTTACTGGCAAAGGTCACTTCACCTCGCCAAGCCTCAGTTTCCTCATCACTCAAATGGAAAGACTGACCAATTCTGTAAGAGCATTAAAAGGAAA